TACATAGCAATCAAATTAGATCGAGGTCTGAAATATACAATGAACACATATGCTGGAGAATTTAGCTAACAGAAGACCATCTAACCTTATAGTCTATGCATGGCTAAACTTTTATAACTTCTTACTAACACCTAGCATAAGCTAGATTGTAGCATTTCACTGTATTAAAATGCTGCTTTTGCAATTTTTATTTGAAGGCTGAATTTTGCTTTGATAAAATGCAAATAGAAAAAAAACCAGTATTTGGGCTAAACATTCTATCTAATTCTTTCTTTCTTTTTCTTTCCTTCCTTCCTTCTTTCTTTCTTTCCTTCTTTCTTCTTAATTGCATTTTAGCTTTCAAAAACTAATTTTGGAAAAATGAAATTGTCTATTCCATGTATGTGCAACAGTGCAGAGATTTGTTATTCCACTCGAGATGTTTACAACCTATTTTATATTATTTTCAATCAGATTTGTTTTATTCTCTCTACTAACCCTGCATATGAGAGTCTTGTGAATTTTTCCTGGTGATGCTCATTTCAATGATAATTAGGAAGTCTGTCATTTTTATGTAATACTTGTATAAAGTGAATATGGTACTTAAAAAAGAAATTATTCATGTGGCTGCTAGAAATCCTTCATGACTCTGGTGAAATTGCAAGGTATTAGTTGAGATAACAGAGATGAAGGAATGCTGGTAGGTTTTATACAAATCTTCTGAGGGTCATTTGTGTTGTAATTGTCCTTCTATTGGAAAGATTGCAGGAATTCATTGGACAGTAATGTAGAGAGTATTGAGGCCTGCCTTTTCTCCTACTTTTCTCTTACTGACTGAAATGCCAGGCGGTGAGTTTCTCTTCCTCTTTTTGGCTGGCAGCCAATATTTTCCCACTAAATAACACTATACTATAGATTAAGGCTGAACACCAAAATAAGCAAAGGAAGCAGCAAAAGATTTGGAACATACTGAAATCCTTGCTTACAATATTCTTCCCCATAGAAGTTCTGATGAAAACATGAAAACAAAAGCATGAAAACAAAAAGTCCATCACAATTTTTTTTTTAGTAACAATGCTTATTAGAATCAGAAGCCAAATACCAACAATATGCACACTTTTGTTATCACTGCTATAATACAGTGCAATATTTGTACTATACAGAATAACAGAGTTGGAAGGGACCTAGTCCAGGGGTGTCAAACATACAGCCCCCAGGCAGAATGTGTCACATGCTTCCCCCGCCCGGTTCAGCGAAGGGGGAAAATGTCCTGATAACTCATGTGACGCCACCTTGACGCCACGAGTTTGAAACCCCTGTTCTAGTCCAACCCTCTGCTCAGGCAAGAAACCCTATCTTACAATGAATTCTTCCCAATTTCTTTACTAGAAACTTTAGTAGTAGAAGGCATTTTTATTTTCTTCTGCTAACAAACTAATGTGATATGTGCGTGTTTATGCTATTTTTTTTTAATATTCTGTAAGTGTGTATGCGTACACTGGGAAGCAGTCCAGGCTGCCTAAGATCTATTCTGAGTCACGTGACCAGAAGGGAGACAAGAGAGGGACTTAAAATGGAGCAGGCAGAGGCATTTTGAATACCACCCAACTGCTTACAGAGGGTTTCATGAAGAGGCGGGGAAAAACAATTTTTGCAGATTTGATACATTTTTCAATTGTGTGGAGGTTTTTTGGTTGTTTTGGGGTTTTCCCCCCAGCTCCTCATTCTAAGTTTAGATTCATTTTATTTTCTGAAAATTATTTTGCTGACAGGCAGATGGACAGAATGAGACCAAGACTTTTTATATAATTTCTAACATTTCATTGAGTTGGAAAGCAAAAAGAAATATGAAACGAACTAAGAAATCTAAATATCTGTTGGTGAGCCAAAACCAAATCGGGGAGATATTTTTTTCACATTTTTTTTTATTAGTGACTTTAGTAACAGGAAACATTTTTATAGATTTTTTTTAACAAATGGAAAGAATAGAATGGAAGAGAATAAAATGGACGCAGATTCCCATTGTCTTCCATCGATACATTTTATGTACCATATTTCCAATCTAGCCTACAGTCCTAAGATTTCCTGTTGCCCCTCATCAGTTACTCACCAGGCCTAACCTACTTTCCTTTTCAAGATTATCCAACTAATCTAATTAATCATCTAATGCTGCCATCTAGCTGGTGTTAAACACCTGCTTCTCTTTCTTCCTCACGAAAAGTGACAGGAAATCTAGCGGTTAGTAAACTACAGATATCAAAAAAGCCCTTGAAGGCCACATATAGCTGAAGTGTGAGCAATTTATTAAGATTGAAAATTCACATTACCTAAAAGGTGATATTGGAAATGAACATGATTTTAAATAATAAAATGAAGGAGTCTTATTAATGGTTTGTCCCATTAGAATGACTTTTTTGCATACTATTTTATCAGTGAATTCTTGTGAATGGAACTAAAGGTCTGAGTTTGAGAATATTTTATGCATATTCTTCTTCTTCCTCCTCCTCCTCCTTTAGTTTCCACATATCCAAAGAATGGAACATGTTTAAAAGAAAGTTATAGTGCTAGCAATAGAGCTAATTTTTCTTGGGGGGTGTGGATGGGAACTAAGCATTTATTTGGCTTTTCTGTTTTAAAAAAACTTTCTAATAGAAGATCTTATAAAAATTCGCAAAAAAAATACACAATATGAGAAAATTAAATTGAATTGCCCTCCTCCATCTCGCTTGCCAATATAATTATAATTACCCAGTTAAATTGATTGGCAGTTCTTTAGAGACAAAGGACCTACCTGTTCACATCATGGGTTTTTAATTTAAAACTTTAAAAAAATTGGATGGTTTCAAAGTACTGTCAGGTACATTCAAGGGAGATCAATCTTTCAATGGCTATTATCTGTGACAGCTCAATCAAAAATCTAGGTGAAGCAGTAGCATGTATAATGTTCTGGACTAGTAAATGGAGAGAAAAACAATGACCAATAAAGTCAAGTATTATTATTATTATTATTATTATTGAATTTGATTTATATGCCGCCCTTCTCCAGAGACTCAGGGTGGCTTACAATGCGTTAAGCAATAGCTTATTCATTGCAGGAATACATCTGATGGCCCAAATGATAAAAAGTATACTAGGACTTTCTGTTTTCCCTGATATCCAGATATTTTAAACAATTCCAAACAATCTCATGTGGCATGGCCACTATTATGGAGTTTTAGTTCAAAATAACAGGGCATACCCATGCTGGGAAAATCAGGTAGATACATCTTTGTTCTATCTGGCAGAGCTCATTTTGTCCCAAAGTCTAATTTTTGTTTGCACATGATCTGTATGTTTGGATTGCAATCCCTGATGCACAGTGCTTTCAGAGTACTTTGTAGTAAAGAAACATAATTTCTGGTGATCATTATGTTGAAGGCAGTAATCTTATACTCACTCATGCAAGTATATCCTATTGAACACAATGGATTTATTTCAATGCAATTTATAGGACAGTTTGGTTTGTCGATACCTATGAGGTTAAAATCATATATTTGCAAAAGGATGTTGCAGTCACAGAGATAATTACTAACTAATATTTATTGCACTTGTCTATGTAAATTTATCTTTGGCAAGCAAACAGTACCATGGTCTAAAAAGACATTTAATTTCAAAAGCAATCTGCATGAAATAATTAATCCCAGATCTGAATATATCAAATTCCTTCTTTTATGCCAGTAGGCTCTGCACATAAATTGTGTGATATAACTTTTTCTTCCATAACCATGTATTTAGTGTTGTGGCAGTTGGAATGGAGTCAGTGTCGTATCTCGTTTTATAAATCAGCATGCTGAAAAATTCAAAGTTGCCTTTAGATTTAGAATTCAGGGCCCCTCGAAGCTAATGTCTAATTTCATTTAATGTTATAGATGCCTCGGGAAACGGTAAGTAGAAACTAGAGTACAATGAGATCAATTGATTTAAGGAAAATGGGACATTCTGTGATGACATGACCTTTACAAAACCCTGAATTATCATGCCTGATGGATATAATTAACTTTTTAAATATCTGCAAAAAAAAAAAAAAAAGTCATGAGCAGGCTATTTTTTAAAATGATTTATGTTGAATCCTTAACAGAATTTTTGGAATACCTCTCCCAACATTTGATTTTGCTTCATTAAAGCTCAAACTATGGATACACAATGTAGTTTATCCACTTGTATTGCATGGAGGATGCCTACATTGCCTTATGTGGATACAGGACAAAAACTGAAGTTAATTGAGTAATATTCAATAATATTCCTGTGGAACATTGTAATTGGAAAGTTGTAAGCTGCCCAGTTACCCTGCAGTAAGATGGTTGGGCAATAAATTTGATAAACAAGCAAGCAAACAAACATCTTGCCCTCCCAAGGTCAGATCCATAACCATCTTTTTGCCTTTAGGCAAAAAGGCCTGGGGCCCCAATGGCTGATGGAATAGAGAACAGCCCACCTCCTCTCTGTGTGCACTTTGCTCTCCACCCTGCTTAGTTTTATTTTATTTGAATTTTTAAATTTAAGATCTTTATTATTGTGTTGATGTTTTATACTGCATTTTATTCAGTATCTGTAAACTGCCTAAAGTTGCCTTTGGCAAGATAGGTGGCATACAAGTTTGATAAATAAATAAATAAATTCTGTTAAAGAATGACTTGTTCATTCTCCATTAAATGTTTATATAATTCTGGATATTGAATGTTTTTTCCTGTATCATGTTCTACCGCTTACATATTTCTGTATTAAAGGTAAGCTTAGTCTGTGACAATATTTTGTCATGTTGACTTTGCATGCTGCTCTTTCAAGGCAAGATTGGCTCATGGAAATTATCTCTATGTTACTTTCTTGGCAACAATATGGAAGGGATTTGCTATTGTTGTTTTAACAGAATGTAAATCAATCACTTGATTAATAATACAGCTGTCCACTTTATCTTTCTATTGTAAGGTCCGGCTATACGCTTAAGCTCTCAGTGAACCAAAAAGAAAGACTTAAACGGAGGCTTGAATAAGAATCAACATTTAATCTTTGATCAAAGACAAAAGGCTGGGTAAAACCATTCCAAACACATACAAAGAGATATGTATATGGGAGGGTTCACATCTTCAGAGAAGATGTAACCACGTTTTATACCTTTAAAGCATCAGTTAGATCCCCAATTCTGGCCCCTTAATTTATGTTTGTGTATTCTTTGTTGCCCTGCAAAGGAATCTAAACTTCCAATTAGTCTTATCTTTGTTTACTTAATTGGCCACTTAGCGCCTGGCTCCTGAAGACCAGATCTTACCCAGATCAGACATAAATTAGGATTGAGTTGTAAATTACCCCTTTGTTGATGGCTGGAGTTCCAACAGATACATACCATGTTTTTAGGTGGCACAGAAAGAGATTGATATGAGCAGGTCAAATGGCAGGGACATACGTTTGACAAATACCAGATACATTTCAGAGGCCTAATGACAATATGTTTGTAACAGGAGATACAAATAGAAAGGAATAATATATGTGATACAAAAGCACAATATATATGTTACAGGAACCTAATGATTACAGAATAACAAGCTTTTACTAAATCTAGTATATCAGTATTTTATATTCTATATTATTGTTTCCCTACATTTCACTCTTTTTATTTAAACGATGGAATGCTTTCCATCATGCTGTAAAAGAGGTACATATTTAGTAGGGATGGTTTTAAGGATCATGTGAGGTTCAGTTGGGGAAGAGTTTGGCTGCGGGTATAAAAGTCCCGAGGATCAAAAACATTGAGACAAGTTGTGGAACCAAAATAAAGATCAGAGCCATTGTCACCTTTTCCAAAGAATGTGCGGGGAAACCAGCAGCAACAGAGCAGAAAAAGAGCAAAGACAACAAAAACAGCAAATCAAATATATTCAATGGGTGTCCAGTCTATCCAGTTCATCAGTGAACAGGTCAGCAGGCGATGCTGGGGAGCGGTGAAGTTTCAGCTTGAGTCCTTCCAGCTGTTGGACTTGCCACTGCTCAGGGGGCTCGGGGACGTGCTTGACTCGTGATGCGTGGACCCACGCTTTGACGCCGTCCACTTTCACAGCCGTGGGGGTGCTCAGAAGAACCTGACGGGGTGTAGACCACTTGGGCTGAGTGCAGGTGGGAGAGAGTTCTTTGATCCTTACCCACTGGCCCGGTTCAGCCAATGGTGGCACGTCAGCAGCTGGAGGTAAAGCGGATTGGACCTGTTTAGAGATAGAGGACAAAACCTGCACCAGATTATGCAAATATGAGGTGATATTTCTTTCCCCTCACTAGAATCTGGCAGGGCAGAAGCAACAAAGGGTCTCCCATACATCATTTCAAAGGGTGACAATCCTAATTTCCCTGAAGGCAGGGCTCTAATTCTTGCTAAGACTAATGGTAGTACCTTAGGCCAGGGGAGTTGGGTTTCTTGGCATAATTTGGACAAGTGTGTTTTCAGGGTTCTGTTCAAACGTTCCACTTTCGATGAAGCCTGTGGTCTGTAAACAGAGTGGAGGTGCCAAGGGATGCCTAAAAACTTACTGACATCCTGAGTAACCTGTGAGGTGAAATGCCTGCCATTGTCAGACTCAAGACCCTTAGGGACCCCAAATCTTGGGATAATGTGATCAACTAAGGCATTCACCACCTCTCTGGCTTTTTGGGTGGAGGGGATGGCTTCTGGCCATCCAGTGAATAAATCCACAAATACAAGAAGGTTAGATTTTGCTCCCCTTTTTGGGAGTTCAGTAAAGTCTACTTGCCAAGCCTCCCCTGGGTATTGGGCAGTTCGAAGACGACCGAGAGGAAGCGGACTGCCCCCTCGGGGGTTGTTCCTTTGGCAGATGTCACATTGAGAAACAACAGTCTTGCAAAGGCCACGCAAGTTTGGATTGCAATAGCAGGATGTGAGCCACTTCTGGAGTGGGCGAGGACTGCTGTGAGACATGCGATGAGCTCGTTGAACAAGTTTCCACACCATTTGTTGAGGGAGCTGGATTCTGTTCTGAACGACCCACCACCCATCACACCACTTGCCATCAGGGTGTAGCTGGTCCTAGTATCATATAGGGCAGGAAGGTGTTGCGTGGGGTCACAGGGAAGCAAAGCTGAGAGATTCCTGGGATTGACAGCAGGGCCTGATTCAGCAGCTTGGTGGGCCCAATAGTCAGCAGCCCGGTTCCCACGAGAGATTTCACTGTGGTCTGTCTGGTGTCCTCGACAATGAATGATAGCTAGCTGGGATGGCTGTCTGACAGCTGTGACAAGTTTTTCTAGCAAGGGCTTCATCTTTAGGCTTTTCCCATCTGCACCAGTAAAGCCACGAGCCTTCCATAGAGCGGCATGAGTGTGTGCAGCCAAAAATGCATAACGACTGTCAGTATAGATATTAGTGCGCAGTCCAGCTGACAGATGGCATGGCTCGATCAGGGCTAAAAGCTCGGCTGCTTGAGCGGACCAGTGAGAGGGGAGTTGTCGTAGGAGGAGGGGGCCATCTCTGCAAACTACAGCCAGTCCTGTGTATCTTTTCCCATTTTTTACAAAAGAAGAGCCATCAGTCCAGAGTTGGGACTCAGGATTGTCAAAAGGTTCAGTCCTAAGATCTGCACGAATACTACCACAGATTCCAAGACGGCTAAACAGTCATGCTGTGGACCATCCTCGGGGGGCAAGGCAAAAGGGTAGCTGGATTCAGCCTTTCACATCTATGAAGCTGAAACAGAGTCTAATTCTAAAATCTGGCTTGCATACTTAGAAATCCGGCATGAGGTGGCCCATGCTGGGAGTTTTTGTTCGAGGAGAGCTTGAACTGAATGAGGCGTATAAACGTTAAGGGGAGCCCAGTTTTCAGAAAAAGTTCAATCTGTGCTTTAATGCCAAGCCGGGCTTCCCGTTTGATAGGGTATTGGCGAATAGAGATAGGTTGGGCACCTGGGAGGAGCTGAGCCATGTGGGGTGTAGCAAATTTTGCAAACCCAGGGATTCCTTGATACCAAACTTGGGGATTTATTTTATTTGAATCAGGTCCTCTAAGGATTGTTTCTTTCTCTAGGAAGCAAAGATAAGCTCTTTCTGGGGGAATTTCAAGGGAAACTCCCTGCTGGGAGCATTGTATAACTGCCCCCAATTTTCCTAGCAGATCCCTCCCCAAAAGATTGATAGGACATTGTGGCAATATTAGAAAGGAATGCTGGAGTGATGGTCCCTTGGTTGGTTCAACCTCCATTGGGTGACTGATCAGGGCATTCTCTTCTATCCCGGTTGCTCCAACAATGGGGGTGGTTTTAGAAGAGAGGCAAGGGATGGATTTATCCTTCAGGACGCTAAAGGTAGCTCCTGTATCAATCAAAAAGGAATAAGATTTGTTCCCCACTTTGAGCTCCATCAGAGGGTCTGGGGAAGCAATTGGCCCTCCAGAGCCCCTTCAGTAGGTTTCTGGATAAAACTCAGGAGCCTGAGCTGACATGAGGGGGGCTTGCGGGGGATCAGGTCTGTATCCTCCCCTTCCCCTCATTTGTCCACGTCCCCTATTGGGCCGTTGTGGTTCGTTGGGGCATTCTCTCCACCAATGGCCAGTTTGATGACACCGTGCACATTGATTTTTCGGGAGGGGTCTCCCCCTGCCTTTACTTTGGGGGCTCAAAGCCGCTGCTAAAAAAGCAGCTTGCTTTCTCATTTTCCTATCTTCTTTCTTTTCTTCCTCTTCCTCCCTTTGGGAATAGACAGTGAAAGCTGTCTGAATGAGGGCCTCTAAGTCCTTAGCAGTAGGGGTCTCTAGTTTTTGCAATTTCCTTCTTATATTGGGAGCACTTTGTCCCACAAAGGTCATTTTCAGCAAAACATCATTAGCTGGGCTATCAGGGTCGAGGTCAGTAAACCTCCAAAATCCATCTTTCAAACGGTTCAAAAAATCAGTGGGGGATTCCTTTGGATTTTGAAGGATCTGATGAACTCGGTGAAAGTTCACCGTTTTTGGAACACCGAGCCTCAGTCCTTGAAGGATAGCATCCCTGGCTCTCTGGAGGATGAGGGCACCCTGATCTGTGTTGGGATCAACCTCATAGCTGGGGCTAAAAAGAACCAGGGGTTCAGGCCATAAAGCTGGGGCATCGTTATTAGTTTGAATGCCATGTTCTCTAGCAGCTTTGTAGTGTGCTGTGGTGGCTTTAAGAACTTGTTGTTTTTCCTCAGTAGACAGGAGTGCTGATAAGAGAGTAAAAATATCAGGCACATTAGGTCTATGAGTGGCCATCACACGTTGAACGAGTTCAACATAACTTTGGGGGGATTCCCTGTAAGAGGGAAGTCCTGCTTTCCAATTGAAAAGATCATTGGTAGTAAAAGGTGTGTGAACAAACACCAATTCATCTTTCATAGGAACTTGTCGAAGGGGGGCTAGGACTGAGGGACCCGGTTGATCAGCAGGTGCGTAAGTCTGTCCCGTCCTAGTGTAAGGAGGACTTAAAGCCGTCAGATCTGGATACAGAGCTTGGGCTGCTTGGGATGTTGAACTTTGTGGATTAGCCTGGGATGGCTGTGATGTTGTTGGGAGCACCTGAGCTTGTGGATTAATCTGAGGGGCAGTTGGACGCACCTGATCCTGCACAGCGGATTGTGCTGTTGCCTGAGGTGCCTGAGCCATTAAAGGCACAGCATTTACATCAGGGGAAGGGGAGCAACATAATATGGTGGGGGAAACTCCTCTTCTTCTTCAGTCACTTTGGATTGCTTTTTCTTTTTTTTCAAAAGTGACAATGGGGCAAATTTTAGAAGAGGGTGTTGGAGTGAGCCCACATGCTTTCTGGATGTCTGGGCGACAAAGGAGATTGGAGAAGAAGCTAATGTAAAGCTCCTCTTCAGTTCGTCCTATGGCAGCCAGAAATTCAGCAAATTTGTTGACAAAATCTAAATCAAGGCTGCCTTCTGGAGGCCAGGTTCCTATGTTAGGACCAATTAAGTAGGTTGGCCAGATGGATGTGCAGAGGGCTTTCAGCTTATTCTTTTTTAGAACAATCTTTTTTTCTGCAATAGGTTTTACTGTGTCCCAATGGGCTAACACGCAGTCCAGAGGGGAACACGGCTCTGTTTTTCTTACAAAGTTACTCATTCCGAATGGACTACCAGCATGGTTGCCCATTTTCCAGGGGATTCCTTTCTGTCAGCTCAAAGCCTGACTAGACTTTCTCTGTCTCCTGAGGAGATTTCCCACACCTTTCCGTCGGTGCGAAGCCTAACCAAACCCACTTTTTCCCTAAGAGATTTCCCAGACCTCCCCTGTGGGTCCGAAGTTTGGTCAGAGCCCTCTCCTGCACTACAGATTCTTATTCCAACAATCACACTCCTTTCAAAGCGATCGTCTCTGGCTGATCTCCTCTCGGATAATCAGAAACGCAGATTGGATCTCCGCACGTCGCTTCGAGGGCAAACCTCTGAGGAATTTCCCTCATCTCATTCACACACTCACAAAGCAACACTCCCCTCCCCACCCAAAAGAAAAAGTCTCTACTCACCTAGCAGAGGACAATCTTCCCCAATACCCAATTCAAGCCTCAATTAGGGCGTTCAGGTCCGGCTGGAAACAGAATCTGCCGACGGCCGACCAGGTCGAAGTCACTGGTTTAAACTTGCCGGGAGCGCTCTTGACGTCGTCTCTGGTCCTCGCCGGTTTCTTCCGTACGCCGTTGGTGAAGGCCGCCAAACCACAAGGGGGTTGGCTGTATGGGGGGGGGGGCAAATGTGGCAACCTTGAAGGAAAACTTTGCCTTCAAGCCCCACGTTCGTTGGGCGCCAGAAATGTAAGGTCCGGCTATACGCTTAAGCTCTCAGTGAACCAAAAAGAAAGACTTAAACGGAGGCTTGAATAAGAATCAACATTTAATCTTTGATCAAAGACAAAAGGCTGGGTAAAACCATTCCAAACACATACAAAGAGATATGTATATGGGAGGGTTCACATCTTCAGAGAAGATGTAACCACGTTTTATACCTTTAAAGCATCAGTTAGATCCCCAATTCTGGCCCCTTAATTTATGTTTGTGTATTCTTTGTTGCCCTGCAAAGGAATCTAAACTTCCAATTAGTCTTATCTTTGTTTACTTAATTGGCCACTTAGCGCCTGGCTCCTGAAGACCAGATCTTACCCAGATCAGACATAAATTAGGATTGAGTTGTAAATTACCCCTTTGTTGATGGCTGGAGTTCCAACAGATACATACCATGTTTTTAGGTGGCACAGAAAGAGATTGATATGAGCAGGTCAAATGGCAGGGACATACGTTTGACAAATACCAGATACATTTCAGAGGCCTAATGACAATATGTTTGTAACAGGAGATACAAATAGAAAGGAATAATATATGTGATACAAAAGCACAATATATATGTTACAGGAACCTAATGATTACAGAATAACAAGCTTTTACTAAATCTAGTATATCAGTATTTTATATTCTATATTATTGTTTCCCTACACTATCCTAAATGTTTCCATTTAGACATGCCTTTCAGTTCTGAGAATTTAAAGTTATTTTTTCTATTTATTTTAGACACACAGCATATCTAAAGAAAATGTAGAGATCTTGGCATTTGCTGAGCTTGGTATAATCATATGCATGTTTACTTAGAAATATGTCACAGTATATTTTATGGAGTTTCCTCCCGTGCAGCATGCATACAACTGCAGCATTAAGTACCCTTAAACAAATAGTGTGTCAAGAATCTACTGCTTAGCATGAACCGAGAAATAATATAGTAATTACTACCTTTAGCTGTGATTAGTGCCAGAGAAGAGGGGTTTTAGTATATATACTATATGACTTTAAACAAATTATCTCCAGTCCTGTCACCTGTCATTTAAGCATAACTTGTCTAATTTTCTTAGATAGATATATTTAAAGGAGTCAAAATAAATGAGATCTTGAATAAGTATTTTCTTTACATAATGTATGCTTTCTGAATCTGTGTGTTGTGCTTGGGTCAGCAGAGTAACCAAGGTGATGTTTTTATTCTGTTATTAAATTTGTAGTCAACTCCCTCCAGAAGACTCACAGCAGATTACCACATATTGTTTGGGGGGGGGGTGCTCAAGTACAAATGGAAGCAATATCAAAGAATATGTAGTATCTGGAGTAGCTGTTCCATTGAAACATGAGGTTGGATGAATTGTTCTTATTAAGGTATGAATTTAACTGTTCATGTTGTGATGATAGTCATACATGACTTTAAAAAACGATTAGGTAATATCTTAAAAGTTCTATGGCCCAATCACCATGTTTATAGTTTAATTAATCCAAAACTTGCTTGTCTATTTTCCAAGGGCCTTATCAATTTTAAGGACTCATCAATTTTAATGATGGCAACATTTTGTTGGATGGTCTAAACATAATCCCAGGCATGGGAGGGAATGAATAAATCTGTCTGTTATGTTCTCTATTTTATTTAATATTTTAAACATTTCAAATTCTTTGGATACAGAAACATTTCTGTGTGTCAGAAACAATAAATTATGTGAGAAATGTTATCTCTGGGCATAAGACCCGTTTAGTAGTGGCATCCTAGTTATTACAGAGATTAATGGACCCTGTACAAAACTGGCTGAATTTCCAGTGAGGTCTCTTTTTTCCTACAACAGTGTTTTTCAAACTTACAGTAACAACTTTTAAGATGTGTGAACTCCAAGAATTAGTTCTGGGAGTTAAAGTCCACACATCTTAAAGTTGTCAAGATCGAAAAACACTGCCCTACATGCTTATTTTATAAATCTACTGACAAAATTGACAGATTTTTTTTCTGAGACCAGAGAGTTGGACATCCTCTTTTAAATATATGGCAATGGGTCTTGTACCTTTAAAAAATCTGCATGGTTAGCTTTCTACAGATCAAATATAGGCCACTAAGCATTTCTTGAGAGCAAAACATCACAATGTTGTCCCCTACGAGCACCCAGCCCACTGGAAAGGCAACCTCCACCCATTTTTTCTGCCAGGCATCAAAAGTACTTATTGTACATTTGGGCCAGCTTAAGCAGTGTTGTTTTATTCTATACTGCACTATTTCATTGTAGTTAAATATATTCACTCCAATTGGCTTTTATTCAGTGGCAGGAACACCCACCTCTGCCTCCAGTCACTGCCATTCCAAGATCTTTTCAAGTTCATAAGATACAATGAACTTGAAATAAAAGAAGGAACAGGGATCTGTCCAGGGGTGAAATCCAGCAGGTTCTGGAGAACTAGTAGCGGAAATTTTGAGTAGTTTGGAGAACCGGCAAATACCACCTCTGGCTGGCCCCAGGAGTGGGGAGGGAATGGAGATTTTGCAGTATCCTTCCCTTGCCACACCTACCAAGCCACACCCACAGAACCGGTAGTAAAAAAAAATTGGATTTCACCCCTGGATCTGTCTTTTTTTATGTGAAATTGACAGGATTTTTGTTATTTTCCCTTTATAGAAAAAATGGTAAAACTGGTGCTTTCTCTCACACATGACCATTCTGTTAATGAAAAATGTCATATTGCTAGGAACGAGCGGGACATTTTCAGAAGTTGGAAGAAGGTGGCCACTTTCTACATTAAAATAAATAATCCATTCTTTTCTTTCTACCAAATATTATTTATGGGGGAAAGGCTTCATGTCTCCGGCCAGTGCCCTAGTCATGCACCTAGAATGGACTAAATTTGCCCACAGCAGAATCCATAGTAGAATTAATGAAACATGGACAATAAGCTGGTGGTGACAATATGGAATTACACCTACTATCTGAAGAAAAATCCACTGTAACCCTTCATACTATAGGAATAAACATATAGCAGGAAGGAAGGGATGCTAGAATACCTTTTAAAATTTGTTTTATATTTTTGTTATTAGAAACCACTATGATAAGAAGCAGGTGGCTGAAAAATGGTTAGTTAAGATTGTTGTTTCAGCCACAAGTTATAGGGATGGATGGAGTTATTTTACTGACAACTATACATAATCTTTTTCCAATGGTTTATCTTGCAACATACAGGTAGTCCTCGAATTATGACACCAATTGAGCCCAACATTTCTGTTGTTAAGTGAGACATTTCTTAAATGAGCTTTGCCCATTTTACAATATTTCTTGCCACAGTTGTTAAGTAAATCACTTCAATTGTTAGGTTAGTAACATGGCTGTTAAGAGAATCTGGCTGTCCCATTGATTTTGCTTGTCAGGAGGTTGCAAAAGGGGATTACATGACCCCAGGGCACTGCAACTGTCATAAATATGAAGTAAATTTTGATCACATGACCATGGGGATGCTGCAAAGGTTGTAACTGTGAAAAGTGGTCATAAGTTACTTTTTTTCAGTGCTGTTGTAACTTTGAACGGTCATTAAATGAGCTGTTGTAAGTCAATGACTACCTGTATAGTATTTGTCTTCCGTTACGAAATGTCTCTTGTGTTGAGCTAAGGGCAGGGGTGGGTTCTACTTACCTTTACTACCGGTTTGTAACAAGAGCGCGCGCATACGCAGAAGCTTCTGCACATGCGCATATCATCCATGATGACATCCGGGCGGGTGGGCAGAGCCTCCTGATGCTTTTACTACCGATTCACAAGAACCGGACTAAACTGGGAGCAACCCACCACTGGCTAAGGGAATGTTTCTCAAAACCTGGGTGCTTTTTCCTTCTGGGAGCTAAAATCCACATTTCTTGAAGTTGCCAAGTTTGATGAATAGTGAGCTAACAGAAAAAGTTGATTGCTAACAACTTCATGATGGTGCCCATGTAGTTTTCTTGGCAACAGTCTGGAAGCAGTTTGCCATTACTTCCTCCAAGATGATTTTCCCCCCTGAATTTCTAGTGTAGCCTACCAGCTATGGGATTTCCTGACCTTCAACCCAAGAAGTATTTCAGGATCCTGCTTAGCTTTCAGCCAAAGTTAATAACTTGTACCAATCTAAAAAAAGAAAAAGAAAAATCAGGAATGGATAATTTTGAAAGTGCAACCAATGAAAACTACTTAATAGGAGCTAAATAGGTCAGTAAATTGAGGACCCAGATTGTTGGGGGTAATATGCTGACTCTGTAAACCACTTAGGAGAGGGCTGTAAAGCAGTATATAAGTTTAAGTGCTATTGCTATATTGGATCAGGCATTAAAGGAATGGCAGCTTCAGTGACAGAGCCGTTTCTTTACATGCAAAAGTTCCAACTTTTGATGCCAGTGTCTCCAACCATAGAGTGCCACTTAAAATTGAGCTAGCTCAGTATTGTGCATGCTAATTGTCTGATTTGGCTGGATTCTAACGCCATGCTAAGCCTAAACTTTCAACTGCCTACATTCACCAACCACACCTAAGACAAAGACACAACGGCAGAGGGCAAACAACAGGTTGAGCCAAAGTAGTTGCTGCTGCTGCTGCACGGACAGAAGAAGTGCGGGCCTTTTCCAACCTCTTCAAACAATCAAGGTATTTCTCTTGGCGAGTAACCAGGAACGAGCAGGTGGACGCAGAAAGTTAGGAAGAGGGCGAGGGACGTCCAAGACAAGAGGATGGCGAGAGCGAAGGGCGACTTGATTGTGCCTCCAGCTGGGCCTTCCGGCAGATAACCTTCCCGTCCTGCATCTCCCCTTCCCCAACCAACCACACACACACACACACACACAAAACACATACAGAAACGAGGCTGAGGTAGAGAAAAACGCGCTGCCTCTTCCACAACCCCCAAGCCAAAGCGGGCGCTTTGCAACAGATGGTTCGAGGCATCTCTCCCCACCACCCACCACCACCCCCGCCTTCCTCCTCCTCTCGGCTCGGTCCTGCCCTTGCTCGCCGGCTGTTCCGTCGGGAGCCCCTCGCGCGGCGCACCGAGGGAGGGCGGGACCCAGGCCAAGCAGCGGCTGTGTGGTCTTTTGCAGGGCGCGCGCGCGCCGCTTTTCCTTTCCATTGCACGGGCTTGGCTGGCGGACCTGCCGCGGCTACAGCCGCCGCCGCCGCTGCTTTCGGGGGGTCGCAACTCGCTCCCTGTTGCCCTGCTCCGCCTCCGCCGCCCCCTGCGGGGGGTCCGGTAAATTCGGTGAGCCGAGAGCGGTGCCGCCTCGGCCCTTGAGCGCGCGCGCGCGCGCTGGAAAGAAGCGCGTTTGCCTTACAGCCGAAAGGCTGCCTGGGGTAAGTTCTATTGGCCGGGGGCACGAGAGGAGAGGGGCAAGCAACCCCCTCCCCCCGCTTCTCTCCCACCGACCCACCTCCCTTTTTCCCGTTGCAGCTTTGGAATCTTGACCTTGTTTCTTGCATCTGAGGCACCCGCGGCAAGACGGAGTCGCTGGGGGTGCCCCTTTAGAAGTACGGGGATGGGAAAAGGCGGACCCCGCTGCTTGCTGCTGCCGCTGCTTGGCAGACCCCGGTGGCGCTGTGTTTGTTTTCTAGCGGGGGGGGGTTGAGAGAGAGAGAGAGAGAGAGAGAGAGAGAGAGAGGGAGAGAAATCTGCCCTTTAACTTTGCGTGCGGTCTTGTGGGTATCTTTTCTCCAGAAGTCCCGTAAGAGCCATTTGCTTTCAGGGGGACAACAAGGGAGGGGAGAATAGGCTGAGTCTGTCTCCATGGACTTTCAGCTGACGCTTGGAACAGTTTTCAGGGCATTTTGAACGCTGGGGAGACCAGGTGAAGCAGAGAGGTTTGGGGGGGGGGGAACGACGTCTGGAGTGAGTGCAGAATAATTAGTGCTTCTTTAACGTTGAGCCTCCAGTCCTGCGCCACCCTTGTTAAAACTTGAAGCAGCTGCATGAAACGTGCTTTTTTTTTTTAAAGGTAGATCCGCTGAAACATTTTGACTGGCGATGCTTTCCCTACCGTGTAGAAAAGTCAACTGAACTGACAGGGCTGATGGGCTGCTGCTGAGCTCCACCATATCTTGACCACAAGGTAGTACAAGGCAGGCCACGTGACACAACAGCTCTGCCTCTTTAACACCACGCTTCTCCAGGCGCCTTATTTTTTAGACAATGATAGGGCTCTGCCCCGTTCACACTTCCTTTGTTTTGGTAGATTGGAATGCCGTTCTTTGGTGTGAGCTTGCATGTGGACTGCATGCTTCTGGGTAGTAACAGGTGTGGACAATCAATCACATTCCAGTTGACGTTAGTTACTGAGTGTTTGGCTGAAGTAAATCTGAGAGAGAGAGGAGTGAAGTGACATTCAGTCAGAAGAAACTGATTAATTTTGATCCAGGAATTTGATTTCATAATCCCCCAAGGTTTCCTTAATGGATCTGTCCCTATAATATGGTCTTTTCAACCTGCAGCGATTAAGGATTCTTTCATAGATCTACTTGAAAGCAACCACTGCTAATGATAAACTTAAAAGAGTTGCAGCTGGAATGAGTTCATTAAGCTAAAACTGTCCTGTTATTTCATTATGTCATTTGGGCTAAATGCAGAGTTCCCCAACTCAGTGCCTTCCACATGCATTGTCGTCAAATCTCCTAATTTGTAGTCAGTGTGGCCAAGGGAGATGAACTTAAAAATACACAATTGGCACCTAAACTGGAACAAATCAAGGTTCTTGCTGTCTTGCTTTTTGTACTTGCTATATTCATGTTGCTTCCAAAGGATTCATCTAAATGATTCATTCAGCCTGTTCTAACATTCATGTTGGTTTACACATAATATCATTGGTTGTCTGGTTGCTTACTTTATTAAGATTAATGAAGCAGGAAGAAGCCATACCAATAAAATGCTGAAGAAGAAGTTTTCCTCGTCACTCTTTAAATGAAATTTCTTTTGAATTGATTCATTTCAGTTAACAATTATTGCTTATAACCAAAAACACAAATAATGGTTATAATGTTTTATTATACTGTATAGATTATTGTATAATAGAGAATTAATAGCAACTATTGTGATATTGGTAAGTAAAAGTATGAAAGAAAATCATAAGAACCAAAAACTACACAAAGATCTTGGTTTCACCTTGATAGTATAAATCCCGTAGAAGTAAAAATCTCTGTTTTGAACACTTGAAAATCTTATTAAAGTATATTTGTGAACATGCAGTCATCCTAAAATACCGGTAATTGTTTGCAATGCAATCAGTTTGAGAGAGGGTGAATTAAGGTTTACTTCAGGATTCATGCCATACGGTTAATATTTTTAAAAACGTAGCATTCAATCATTACAAAAAACTGAACAACTCTTCAATTTTGCTTGG